GGTATTGTCAAGTATTTAAGCTTTTTTTTTTCAGTCCTTACGCGATAGGGTTTTTTTTTTCCTCTTTGCACTCTTCAAGTTTCTTATTAGTTGAGGCAAGATACGCATCTGTATTTGAATGTGAAACTCGCTTAATAGGTTGTATTTTGGCACATCTCAGAGCTAGACAAGAGTATTTAATTTGCTAAGTCTCGCTTCTGCAGCTATATGTAATTTTCTTCTCTTGCTAAAAGTCCTTTGGAAACACTGCAAAAATGTAATGAATATGCAAAGCAGCCAGCTCTCACATCCAAATCCGGTTTGTCTTCAGAGACTTTTCAAAACGCCCAAAGTGATCAAGATATATTATGAAATAATCACTTTTGCCTAAAATACAGGAATGTGATGTTTCACACTTTCTCCTTATGCGTATTCCTAATTGAATTGGTGACAGCTCAAATATAATTCACCTGAAATAAAAATCTCTAAAAATCAGTTGGGGTTGCTCAATTGCTCTTACTTCTAGTGCAGCCTTACAAAGCAGGAGAACTGCTAGTGAAGTCCGTGCCCTGTGCTTGCATCCCGTAACTCCCGAGTTTTCCTTCTCCCGGTACCTCACCCACATCTACCAGCGGCTCTCTGCAGTTGCAGATCTTCCTGCCGACTCCGGGAAATGTGCAGCTTTGAACTCAGACCAGACAGAACGGGAAGAAATGGGTGTTTTCCCGTGGTTAAAGATGTTGAGCTGGTCTGCTGCCGCTGCCGGTTGTCTTGATAAGAGGGAGCCGATTGCAGTAATAGGTTGTGATTTCTCCACTGTTTGTTTACAGATATTTAGTAGTGCTGTGTAGTGTCTCTGTGGCTTTTGTTTTCCTTTTCCCTAGGAGTTATGTTTGTGGTCAGAGTTAAGGTGACATCCAGCATTTGGAGAGGAGGGCATGGTGTGTAGGGTGATAGGCTGTGGATGTGAATGAGGTAATGTGGAAAATGAGAATGCATGCTTGTGGCTTGCAAAGGCTGAGCGAAAATCTAACTTGTGATTTCCTGGTTCTTCCGTGGCTATAACAGTATGCAACCTTGCATGTATTTAAACAGCTTTTTCAGTTATGGGGAGTTTCCTAGCTTCTTTGTTTGTTCTATACGTGAAAAATGTAAGAGACGGCTGTTCCCCAGTGTGTTCCCACATTCTTTACTGGTACAGACAATGAGCAAAGAAAGGAGAAGTAGCAGCTCAATTACTGTTGTCGTGTTCATTTATTCCTGCAGACCTTCCCAGGCCAGTTTCCCGTTCCTGCCTTTTGCAGTAAAAGGGTTTGCAGTTGGCCATGCCTTAGAAGATCTCTTGCTTGCTCCTAAGGCAGCTGATTGTTTTGGTTAGCTGCTTAGGCTTTGCCAGAGGACATTACCAGGCTGTTACCCTGAACCGGGCTTGTTTGGGGTCACAGATTAGAAAGCCTAGGACTTATGGAGAAGGCTGTGGAAGAGGGGAATGCGCAGGGTGCCCTAGGGTTTTACCCGAGGTGCTCTCCCTGGTGAGGAGTGTACACAGGTCTCCTGGCTGGGAGCTCGCCCTGTGTCTTGTTGTGTAACCTCTTCTTGTGCTCACCCTTTGCCCCAAAAGCACAGTCCCTGCTTCACTAAGAAATGAGAACAGCAGTGGTGGAGAGCAATACTTTATGTCTCTGAGATGCAATTTAAAGGTCACCTGCAAGATGCGTGGCTCTGAGACGCAAGTGGGTGTGCTAAGGCTTTGCCATAGCCATATAGGTAAGCAGAGACAGGCAGCAACAGCGATGGCTGCTTGTCCTTTGGCTTAACGGTGTCCTCTGATTCAGCAGTGCTGCGCTGCTTTCTCAGCAAGCCTTGTTGCTTGTCCTCCTCCTAAGCCTCATCTTACTCCTCCAGGTTGACTCGCTTACCTGCTTTCCTGGCTTTGTAGGCTGTGAGCTGAGCCGGACCAGTGGAGCGGACCAGTAATGTCTGGAAGAGCAGCGCAGCTGGCAGCATGGTGAGGCTGTCTCGGAAGGGGGAGGGAGCCTTCCCCTTGTAAAAGTTTAGAAATACTTGGGTTGTTGTCGAGGTGAGTGCAGAAGGGACCCAGTTTAATGAGTGTAGAAAAGAAGTCAAAAGGAGGAGCGTTGGGAAGTGTCTTCTCTGAAGAAATTGGTAGCAATCTTAAATGGAAAATTTGCATGGCCCTCTCAGGAATTACTGTACTAAATTTGGAAAGGAGAATTGGTCTTTAAAGTACAAAACAAAGGGATTTCAGTCTTGCTTTAAATGCAAATCTCAAAGCAGTCTGAACTGTGGACTCACTAGTGACGCCTCCATAGTACATATTAATCCAGTTTTATCTGTCAGGAGGAGATTTGTTGATGAGAAGCCTCTAGGTGAAGGCTGCTCCTGGACTGCTGCTGCTCTTCCAGCCTGTGGGCTGGAAAAATGAGCTCCATGCCTTGCCTGGAGCTCTGGGGCTGTGTGCAGCTTCACTGCCGCCGTCCTCCCAGGATTCAATTTAGCCCTCTGCGCAAAGTCCATTTATGTAGATTTATGTAGATTTAGTGCTAAGATGGATGACTTTTGGAGCAAGTGGGTATTCTCGTGGCAGTTATATAAGTTAGTTTGTGCTACTGATGGTAGAAAGTGAAGATAATTTGAAAAGGGAGGGTAGGAACAGTTTGCTGAAATGCCACTGAACCGTAAGATGTTAGTTTTGTTTGTCTTGTCAAAGTTTGTATGGAATGGGAGGATTTTTCTAAGAACTTCTGTGAAGTAATGACAATTCTTAGAATACTGAATTATGTATGGTTTAAAGGATTACCTTTAAGTGGTTTTCCTCATTTTTTCTTGTTGCTGCTCACATTTTTGAGTGTAGACAGTACTTAATTGTTTTTCTGCAACTAACTATTATTTTTGAAAGCTAAACGGTATTTTGATAACACATTGCTCTTCAGTGTTTCCAGTTTCACCCTGAGTTCCAAAGTGCGCAGTGCTCACCAGCAGCTCCTTGAGGTGGCTGCTCAGATCTGAACGGCTATCGCTGTCCGTTCTGTTTTACAAATACCAGTGTATGAAGAATGATAAGGGTAGCTGGTGGGTTTTTTGTTGGTTGTTTAGCTTTTTCTCCTGTGCTTTTCTTCCTGAAGAGATTGTTTGTAAGTATTCTGTTGCTCCCGCATATATTTCTGTAAAGTTTCTTTGGGGCTCCTGATTTTATTTTTCTCTAGTAGAGTTTAATTGAAGTTTTGTAGCAAAACCCTGATCTTGCAGATGCCTCCTGAGTTTTGTTTGTTACACCTGTATGTTTGAGTTGCTGAAGAAAAGGGCCTATTGTAAAAAAAAACCCAATCAACAAAACAACCCAAAAACCCCAAAACAAAACAATAAGTAAAAGTGAATATTGTAAAATTAATTTCTGCCTTCATTTTACTTTTGATTACCAGTCTCCCAGTGTCCCCAAGCATACATACATTCTCGCATCAGAGTTCTGGGGCGAGGGGGATTGCGCATTATTACAGCTGTCTCTCCCTGGTGTGTGCCAGTCATTCTGTAAGTGCTTGCTTTTAGGTTGCTACTGGGTGTTTTTTAAGGTACGGTGTGATAGTAAAGCTAGAGTAGAGTTGGCAGCACAGCTCCATATTTGTCTTTCTCAACCAACTATAAATTACATGCTTTAGACCTTATTGATTGGTGGTTTAGCTTAATACAGCAATACTGGAAATTAGCCGCTTGTAGTTGTGAAAGCCATCGTAGAGCGAAGAGGTGTGTGCGTGAGAGAGACCTTTGAATTCTCGGAAGAGTTTATTATTTGCGGGATAATTCGATAACGGGTTTCATGAAGTTGACACTTGTGCAGATGTTTTTCTGCAGCTGTAAGGGTAGAAGACTGCCACGGTTTGTCTGTTGGGAGCCCTTAGAGTGCGGTTGCTGATTGGTATTTCATGTCGCAGGTATCAGTGACATGCAGGCCTGTTAGCAGATGGAACGGGCAGGGGAATTCAAAATAATGTTTTATAAACTCTGTGTGTTGGAGTACATCAGTAGCTTTGCTTTGTCTGTGGATGTTGCTGCTATAGTTAAGATCAGCAGAGGCATGAGATCCTTTTCATGTGAAATGAAAGCTGCAGAAGTATTTGATTCCCAGACACTGTTTTCCTGATCCAGCTTCATTAATTCTCTAGGGTTCGGTGAAACACTTCTTCTTTGCTGTCCTTTTACAGTCCTCCACGCTCCTATGGGGGGAAATGATTTGAGAATTAAGGAGAATTGAAACTGATGAGCTTTTTTTCTTCAGGTGATCAAGTATTCAGTAATTCTTTGGGGTGTTTTCTGGTCGTTTTGATCTGAAGATATAAAAGAGTCAAGCAGAAGCAGTGAGCAATGTTGAATGGCATTCTTGGGAACAAACATGAAGTGGGAATGCTGAAAACAAGCTGGCTTCATCTTTGAATCATCTTTTTTTGTAGGTGCATTGCAACTATCTGCAGATTTTCTTTTTCACAAATATTTCCATTAAGTTAACTAGTCAAAAAACAGAGCTATTTCCTTTTTTTTCATTTCCGTACTTGTTCTTATAATGAGAGAAAGAAATGCTGTCCTCTGAGTTGACAGCCTTACGGAAGGATGGGTAGTGGGGTGGGGGGATGCATCTGAATGTTCGCGTTCTGGTGCTCATCTCTCTGTTTTTACTGTTTGCAGGTTCTGTCATCCGTGATGGCGTCAGCTCTACCCAGAACCCTTGGAGAATTGCAGCTGTATCGAATACTACAAAAAGCAAATCTCTTATTCTACTTCGATGCCTTCATTCAGCAGGGTGGCGATGATGTCCAGCAGCTCTGTGAAGCAGGTGAAGAGGAGTTTTTGGAGATAATGGCTCTCGTAGGCATGGCTAGCAAGCCGCTTCACGTCCGAAGGCTGCAGAAGGCTTTGAGGGACTGGGTCACAAACCCCGGTCTTTTTAACCAGCCTCTCACCTCCTTACCAGTCAGCAGCATTCCAATATATAAGCTGCCGGAGGGGTCTCCTGCGTGGCTGGGGATATCCTGCAGCAGTTACGAAAGGAACAGCAGCACCAGAGAGCCTCACCTGAAGATTCCAAAATGTGCCGCCACGACGTGTGTGCAAAGCATGGGCGCGAGCAAATCCGATGTGGTGGGGAACTTATCGCTGCAGAGTGGCAGCGAATCGAGACACTGGCAAGGACACCACACCACAGAGAGTGAGCATAGTCTTTCCCCGGCTGACCTCGGCTCTCCAGCTTCACCAAAGGAGAACAGTGAGACCCTGGATGCCGCTGCTGCTCTGTCAGTTGCTGAATGCGTAGAACGTATGGTGCCCTCCCTGCCCAAAAGTGACTCCAATGAAGTCAAGGAGTTACTGAAAACAAATAAGAAACTGGCAAAGATGATTGGTCACATCTTTGAGATGAGTGACGAGGACCCTCACAAAGAGGAGGAGATCAGGAAGTACAGTGCAATATATGGCAGATTTGACTCAAAAAGAAAGGATGGCAAGCATCTCACTCTCCACGAGGTAAAATACTTTGAGCAACAATGGGCTTCCTCCCCTATTCCTACACCATTTATGAGGTGCCATTCACAGGGTACACTCTTTGTACAAGCACTTCTCACTGGGTAATGAGAGTTGCATGTCTTACAGGAGCCGTAGGCCATCCTGCCCTGGGACAGAAATCCCGGGTGCAGCAGAAGTACCCTTTCTGGGGTGGGTGTGTGCATGCTTGCAGTGATGACTGCAGCTTGGTGTCATCAGACTGCTCAGTTACTGGTTTAAGCAGTCTGGCACTGAAATAGCAACCCAGTATTGCACTGAGTGTGGCTCTTGGGATTCTAGGCATTTGGCAGATTTTTAAAGCAGTCCTGTCTTGCTATTCCATTGCAGCTTGGAGGACAGACTGGTGGTTTGGAAGATTAGTAACTGAGATGACTTGTGTCTGCTAACAGGCTCACCTGTCTAAGTTATTACCCTCTGCTATCTTCCCTTACCTTGAGACCTTGCTCTGTAGCATGTGCCCTTGAGGTATAAAGGATTCTGCTTATGAGGTCTCTCAACCTGGTGGGGCGAAGATTTTTTCTGTGAATTGTGATGAAGTGTAATTTTTCAACCTGTGAGGTTTTTTGGGCACAGTGGTCTTAAGCTGGTCAAGTGAAGTGCAGACTATGTGAAGAGGAAGAGAAAGGACCATCTCCAGTATTGATGGGTGGCTGTGATTTGAAGGTTTGTCCTTCAGTACCTGGTAGCATCTGTTCCTGCTTGTCCTTAAATGTCCACAAGGGCCTCCCTTGCTTCGCTTCTGGCATTTTTGAGGCTCACACTGCATATGTTGTAACCCAATAGGTGTGTCTGTGTGGGGAATAGTTCCCTAGTGCCAAAGTACAGTACAAGAAGAGAACAAACATTAATTCAAAGCAGTGCCAAAGTGCTGAAGATATGAATGCTGCATCAGCATTTTCACAGTTAACAGTGATTGCAAAATTTCTGTTGGATTTAAAATTTGGCATGTAGGGCTTAGCTCCCAAAAGGAAAGGCAATGTTTATGTTATAGGAGTGCCAAAAAAACTGTACTGGCTTTAGGTTTTTTTTTTGCTTCAAGAAGTTTTGTAGGTGTGTGATCCATAGCATAAGACTAGGTTCTCTTTATGCTTCCAAGTAGAAGGGCAGAAGGAAACAAGGCGTATTTCTTTACATTTCTGTTTATGTATTTACGTTTATAAGGCAACTGCACATCACCAGCAGTGACTTCAGTAGGGCTTTTACTACAGACTGGGGAGACACTTCCAAGGGAACTTGTCAGCAGTCAGCCACGTTTCTACCACACAGTTTTAGTTGTGCAGCATTCACTTACGTGCTTTGTGGCTTTATGTTGAACACTTGCAGTCTATGAATTCATCCAGTGTGCAAGAACAGATCTTGTCTTACTCCCCTGACCCTGCGGAAGCCTCTCCCAAAACAGAACAAATTGTGTATGAGATGGAGACAGGATTTAAAAGGACTAATTGTGTAGACGCCCTGTGTATGTTGCTGCAGAGTCAAGATTTGGAGAAAGGGGTTCCCCCACCTGAGAATGGAGGCAGTTGGTATACTATGTGTGCAGCTCTGTGCTTTCACCATCTCTCTCTGGGGTAGTGGCTACAGAAAATACTCTGAAATCTGGGCACGCTTCTTGTAGCATAATTTCCTGGCATCCAGAAACACAATGGGACGTGGGTGCTGGGGGTCAGCCTTTGTCAGGTGTGTGGTAGGCTCAGGAGTGGCTCTTTGAAGCTGGAGGAGTGAATAGCGGGGTGGTAGTTCGAAGGAGCAAGGTAGCAAAGAATGCAAGAAAGGACAACTGCTCTGTCTTGTTATTTTTTTTTAATACTGATCTTTACTACATCATTGTAAAACCATGTTTAAAAAAGAAATGAGAGCATGGTTTGGCTTTAGGAAATATTTCTATCGCTATTATGATTAAGGGCACAAGATCAAAGGAGTATGTGGTTGACTTATGCCTCACTTACGCATGTGGGGCCTCGCTGAACTTGATGGGAACTGCACATATGCAGGCAAGAAGAATTTCTTCATAAATGGTGTACTGTTTGCTTAAAGAGGCCAGATATCACAAAGTTTTGTCTAGAACAGTTTTCTCTCCATTTCAGTTTTTAAACAGAAAATGTACAAATAGTAGCAATGAGACAATTTTTTTTTTTTTAAATCTTCTAAACCAGAGTTTTCCTTTTGTAAACTCAGCTTCAGTGGATTTTTGTTTTTGATGGCTTAAACAATTTGCTGCTCAGAAGGAAGGGCCTTAAACAGCCAGGGAGGTAAGTTTCTGCTTGTTCAGAGACCGTTTCTGCACGCGTTGATGCATTCCAAGGCTGTCGCTCTGCCTCGCAGTTCAAGGTTTCTCCTTGCAGCTGGCCATGAACAGCTGAATAAACTTCACTATGAATTTAAAAAGCTTAAGTAGTGGTTAGCTTCTTAATGTAAAGATCAGGGTATCTCTGGCTCTTCAAGCAGAGTGGAGTGGTGTGCAAATTAAACTTGATGGAATTATTAGTGGTGAATTAGTGAGAATTTTCTCTGTTTCAGTACGAGCCCCGGAGTGTCTCAGAAGCCTTGAGCAGCCATTAGAAACCAGTGGGAGCTGCAGACACTGAGCTGGTTTGGAAGTGTGTGCTGTTGGTAGGATTATCTGCATAAGGCACTGATCTGGCATAAAATGTGATCCAGAATCTTTCAAAGACGTTCCAAAACCAGTAAACCAATAATGCTGTCCTTAATCCATCCCATTGTCTTGGTATTACACAGCTTTTCAAGCATGGAGAAGCCTTTATGTTTAGAGTTGGATTGGAGGAGAAAGGAGCATGAGGCATGGCCTTGAACTTGGTGACCCATGTGTGTTTGAGTCAGATTTGTAATTTGTGTGTTAATATTTCAGTGCTTGTCTGGGTACCTGTAAGACTGAAAAAAACCAAACCTATTTATAAGTGTGAGAGAGAGAGGAATAAGAAATGCAACTAGTATATTTTGTTTAGCTCAATCTCTTCCTTTTCATTTGCTGACTCACCAAAACAGTAGGGCTTGGTATTTAACTATGTATTTTTTAGTGGGGGAATCTATGAACCCCATCAGATCCCTCACTATAGAGCCTGTATGGTTATGTGCTGTTCCATATCATTAAGGCTTGCAGCAAGCACAATTTTTATTTTTAGGCATGCAATGCTTTCTATCTGCAGTATTCTGCCTCCTGAAAAGGCAGGAAGCCATGATGCACTTCAGTTCAGTAAGTCTAGATGTGACCTGAAAGAATAAACCAGGAAAAACAAACAAACAAACATTTGGCTTTTCTCATGTATTAGGATAAACAGCATTTGCCTACAACTACCCAAAGCATTTTCAGTCATTTCAGCTCTTTGCAACCTTTCAGCACTTTATTGAGGGATAAAAAAACGTCTCAAGTTATTTTGTAAGCATTAGCCATATTATTCATCCTTGGCAAAGTAATAGATACCACTGTTACAGAAATTAATGCCTGCTTTGGATGGTAATTCTTTTTGTTAGTGTTGTATAAATTATTTTTTTTTCTGAAAAGATGAACATTATAGAACTGTTTCTATCTAGGGAGAAATAGTTTATTCTAGTACATTGTATTGTAAGAACATAGTAACCTAGAGATGTTTCACAGGTTAAACCTAAACTTCCCACCCTTGTACATCAGATTTTTGTCTGTACAGAGACTAAAGGATCAGGCAACATACCTAGTTTGCCTGTTAAAAGACATGTGTGCACTCTGATTAGCATTCAGATATCATAGGAAATGCCTTCCTCGAGTCAGAGACTTCTGTGGTAAACACAGGAAAAAATGTTTATGAAATATCAGGAACAGCAGTTGTGTGAGGTTTTACATGAAATACTGCATGGGCACAGGCCACTGAGAGAAGCTCAGCTCTTTTGATGCTTTTTTTTCCCAACCTCCCTGGAGAACAAGCGTTGCATTAGGTGAAATACATTTTTACTAATTTGGATGACATCAAGCGCTGTGGCGAAGGATAGCATGGTTGTGTGTTGCTCATGTCTTATGACAGCTTCCATCCTTCAGGGGTGCAGCATGCAGTGTTTCGGGTGAGCTGCTGGCCTCAAGTAAGGTTTTGCAGTGTGGTAGACGGGATAAGGGAGCCAGTTTCTTAGCCCCCTCCCAAGAGATACTGTTTAACTGCAGACCTGCAGATCTGTCTTCAGCTTCACCGTCTGTCCTCTCCCATGAAAAGCACTTCTTGTACGAGCAGTGTTTGGTGTCTGAGGTGACATGTGTGCGGTCCTGCCCATCCTCGGCCGCATAACCCTGTGTGCTGACCTGTGGCTGTGCCCTGCACTGCCAGATCAAGGGCTGAGGATGGCACATACCGGTCTGTCATGAATATGCTGACTGCGCTGTGGAAAACTTGCCTGCTTGTTAATATTCACCAGCCTGAGACAGATATGGACCATGCTGTTGACAGTAGCAGCAAAGCAGCTGTGCTCATTTGCGAGAAGCCAAGCCTATTCAAAGCACCTTAATTGCTAGAAATAAAGGGTAGAAGAGTTGTGGGCAGTTGGGAAAAAACCACCTGTGCTCTGCTGGCCTCTTGCTGTTATGCCTCATTACAAGTGCTGGCTGTTCAGCTGAGGAAGAAGTGAAAATGTCTCTTCAGCCTGTGCTTACTGTGGAGGAAGCAGGGAATCTCTCTGGCATCTCAGTGTCTCTCATTGCATTAAGAATTTTGTGGTTTGTCCATACTATTGACCACAGGCTTTTCAGACAGCAGTACTGTTAAGCTGGTATAATTCATGACGGTATCACCACTTCCTATAGGCTTCTGAAGAGCACTGCAAAACCATTTTGAGTCTTAACTTAAGGTTGGTTGTTTTTTTCCCCTCTTTATGAAACTATTGCCAGCAGCAGAGGCACTAGAAATGTGTCCCGGCAGGCTCAGGAAAACATCCTTGAAGCAAGTTACATTTGATTCATGTCTGAAGATAGTCTTCACAAACATGAGTGAGAAACATAGCTAAAAAAAGTTTTATCGTTTCTTAAACCATCACCTTCTATAGAATTTATGCTGTATTCACCAGGGAAAGCCATCTGTACCCACACTGCCAGGGTTGGGTTTTTTTGTTGTTTTTTTTTTTTCCAAGTCCTGGGCATATTGCGTTTATAAAAATAGTATTCCCTGTAAACCAGGCTTTGAGAGCCAAACACTGTGAACACTGAGAGCTACTGTTTTATACTGAGATTTAATTAATGCTGCGATGAGGCACGAGCAGTGCACATTGAGAGAGTATTGCAGTAACGTTTTTCTTTAAAGGACATTATCTTTTCTCCTCCCAGAGGCTTACCTGGCTTAGTAAGGGTATAAATAAACTGAAGAAACCCTCCAGTGTTTAGTATAGAATTATAGGTAATTGTACTTGCAATTGAAATTTTTTATTATTCCAGGAGAACAGGTACTTTTACAAGCGCGATGGGTGGAAGTATGCAAGAATCATGACTCCCTGTTTTTGTGTTTAATTTCCAGCTAACAGTTAATGAAGCAGCCGCTCAGCTGTGTGTAAAAGATAATGCGTTGTTGACCAGGAGAGATGAACTCTTCGCTCTAGCTCGGCAAATCTCTCGAGAAGTTACATACAAGTATACTTACAGGACCACCAAGTAAGGATTTAATTAACTCAGAGGACCTTTACTTTCAGGGAACTAATCAGTCTGACAGCATTTATTTTGAAGCACTAGAGACACTTTCTTCTTGCTCTTTAGCTAGCAAAGTGCCCTTCTGAGGAGGGTAGGAAAGTGCTATTTAAGTTGTGAAGCTTTCAAACTGCTAAGATTTAGCTGTCTTGAATTTTCTTTGTATTTGCTGCTAGTTTTCCACATTTTGCGATGATAATGCATGTTGAGAGGTATCTGAGAGGCTGGCATTTCAAGTATTTGAGGCATTTGTGTATTTCAAGGTGAATGTAAATAGGGAGAGTAACCGAAGCTGCTTAATGTATCAGTTGTTTTTTTTTTCCATATACAGATTTGGCTTGCTAGTTTCCAGGGAATGAAAAAGATAAGGTCATAGGGAGTGGCTGACAGCCTTGCCTTAAAGGAACTGAAGCTGAGTCCTACTTTCAGCCGTTACTGTTCTGTTAAATGAACTGCTGTTATGAAACAGTACCAAAGGCTTAACAACTTTTAAATACAATTAAAACTTCAGAATTAATAAATATGATTGAAAGTCTTGATACTTTATATTTTTTAAAATGTTAACTCCCTCATGTGCAGTGCAATATCCTTTCAAAATACATTTTCTTGCACTTCTAGGAGCTTTTTATGGTTTTCCTTTGCTCCCCTTTGTTCCATAGCGAGTAATGTAAATATGCATCCATTCTGGGTAAGCAGTGCCAAAGGCACTTCTGTTATTCTCCTTGCTGAGGTAGCTTTCCTTTCTGTTCTCTAGAAAAGTGCACGAGTCTCTTGACACTTTTGAAAACAACACAACGCGCTTGCATTCCTCTGTACTTGAGTGACATTTACTGCTGTGTCCAAGTGAATTGGAGGCTTTTTTCTCTGTATCTCATTTGTTCTTGTGTGATTATTTTTTTCTCCTTGAATCTGCTTTTCATTATTATTTCTGATGGTCAGGGTTAATGTGGTGTTTACTGATAGTGTGTATGCCTTCTCTTCTAGATCTAAATGTGGAGAACGGGATGAGCTGTCACCAAAGAGAATCAAGATAGAGGTACAGTATCGTGACTCCTGTATTTTGACCTATGCCTGCTAAAATTCAGTTTTGTTTTGAAGGGATCTGTCTTAAGGAAATTTGTCAGAAAAACATTTGACAGACAGTTGATGGGTGTGAGAGAGAGAGGGGGAGAACGTCACCACTGTCTCTGCAAATGTAAATGCTTGATGGAGAAACCTACAGGAGCAGGGGCAAAGAGTAGGATTTGTTTAATGGTAAAGTTACTCTCACTCAGAGTGAGTGGGAGGGGGTGGAATGGGACTGACTGCTTGACTTCCTGTGGTGGAATAAGCTCAAGCGCTATAGGAAATGTCTTCCCATAAGGCCTCCTGCTTTTATGTCAGTGTGAGGTGGGGTTTGCTTAATGCCTTTGAGTCGGCTTTCGGTCATGTCCAGAATCCACAGTTCTGGATGAGGATTGATGGCGGAATCCCAGCCATCTCTGACTATACTGTAAATTACAGAACTCATACTGTGGAAAAGTCAAAAGCAAACTAAAAGCTGCATACATCAGCACAAATGGTTGTGCCCGTAGATATTAATTTACAGGTTTCTGGTAATTTGTTTTGTATAAAAAGCACATGTATACATGGCTGATGTATACACCTGCACAAGATGTTGCATAGGGAGATGCTGGGAGTTTCCTGTTAGGTGTGCAGGAGCAACATACATGTACTTTACCTTTTTCTTCAGTTACCACTGCCGGAAAGTAAATATGAGGGCTTTTAAAAAGTCTCTTTTAGTTAAAAAAAAAAAAATGCATGTATGTATTCCAATATACCTCATAAGAATAGCAGATCTTCCATTTTAATTTATTTTTTTAAACAAACTACTGTTTCACTGTTACATGGGTATCTAATTTGTCGTTAGTATTGTGCTTTTGTTTGCTTTTTTTTGCACTGCCTACTCCAAAAGGTGTAGGTTAGATATGCACTAGAATGTAAGCTAGGCCTGGCCTAGATTTGTATGTGATACAGATAGACAGTATCTTCTTCAACTGTAAAGGGAAGTCACAGCATATCTTGGAATGCATTTCTCATATGTAACTCATTCTGTGATAAATGATGCACCGAATGCAAGGCTTTCATTTTTTTCGGTAGTGTGATGCTTTGTTACCTGTGCAAAGGCTTTGCCTGTGAGGCAAACCCTGGTGAGAGCAGTTAATTTTGAAAAAGCAGTTATGAGTAGGTTTAGAGGAGTTAATCTTATTTATTTAATTGTTAAGTTCCATCAGTCTGTACAGTTGTAGTTTGAGTTTATGTAATACAACATATACACGTGCATTGAGGATTTACTGGTAGCTTTGGTAAGTCAGTACTGTCATTTACATGTGTTAGGATTTGCTTTGACCTATGCTTGTTCTTTGATGCACAAAAACAGAGCAGGGAAAAGCTGCATTAAATTATTTTATCTGCCTTTACCATTATCTGCCTTGACCAACATGTTGCAGAATGATTGCTTGAGTCTCCCCTCTTTTGCGTAGTCTAGTCTGAATTTATAAGAGCTGCTGGGGAGCTGCCACTCCTCTGCTTCAGACAGTATTTCACTGACTAATAAGATTTCAGCATTATGAAGTTTTTCCTTCATTGAGTAGTAATTGATGATGAGCAAGTAGCTAAAATGACACACTGCAAGAGAGGTGCTTTTTTCAGTGAAAGAAACAGTAAAATTAATATCCTGAAAAATACAGGCTGAAATTCAGGATTTTTGGAGAGCAGGAAATTTGGAGAGCCTTAGGGGGTGTGCATTCTCTTATTTTGTGCATGGTGAAATCTTAAGAGTCTGAAAGGCTTGCTTTCTCTAGCCACTTTTTAGTTCAGTAATTCTAAGAAAAGATGTTTACTTGAGTTTCTTTTTATCTAAAATCACCAGTCATATTTTTAAACACTTGTGAAAATTTCATGTCTTAACTGTACAAATGACTACTTCAGAAATAGAACTTTTTTTTTCCAAAAATAAGAAATCAAAAATTAAACTAAATGAAATAATCTTTCATTTGATAGCATAACATTATGAATTATTAAATGACCAGTGTTACCAGCATAAATGTCTTTTTCCTTACAAGTTTGGGAGTCTTCTAAGGAGTAAACCATTATTTTAGTGCGTTGTAATTCTGAGGTACACTGTAAATCATGGACTTTTCTTCAAAGAAATAATAAAAAAAGATGCAGTATTACTCAGTAGATCATTTTTACATGGGGTGTTTTGGGTTCCTGGGGCTTGCATTTTGTAAAAAGAAAAAGCAGTGCTTTTTTATTAGTGTGTTTGGGATTTTGTTTTTTTTGGTGGGGGGGTGTTTGTTTTTAGAAAGGTGGAGTTAAAAATGAAAATGGTAGCAAACGCTGCAGATTTCTTCTTCTTCTCTGAGTGAGAATTCCTTATCCTGTTTTTAAAGCTGTAATGCTCCGTTGTGGCTCTGTTAGTTCACTGTCATGCTAATATCATGCAGAGGATCTGAACATGACTGATTTTTGTTGTTACTAGCTCAGTCTTTCTGGTAAGGGTCACTTTGCCTTTCTGTTTTAAGGCTGAACTCTTATTTTGATTCACCATTCCTTTACCCATTAGTCATTGATGCCTCTGCAAAGTGTGTTCTAAAATACTAGTGCTTGAATTTGGAAAGACTTCACACCCTGTTTGCATAGTGTAAAAGATTACTTAAAAAAAAAGTTAATTTCCTGAAATATAATAACACTTAAAAAAAAAAAAACCTCCAGAGAAACTCTGAAGGTCATCGTTGAGCAGAGCTAGCGGAGTTGTGTGTGCAGGCTGCAACATTGCCGGGTTACAGCCACCGTTGTGAATTTATCCTCTTGAGGAACGTGAAACTTACACAAGCATTGCAAAGAAACAATATGCCGTGAATTACATCAAATTACCTGTAAAAGCCTTTCTCTTCCCCTGCAAGCTCTCCCCCTCTTATTCATTGAGTGGGTGGGTGAGCTGTGGGAGTGAAGTGTGGAGAGGAGAAGGGAAAAAATTCCAGGCAAATGACAGACTAAAGGTGTGGAGGGAGTGAAAAAGGGAATGGAGTGAACTGGCATTTGGAAGCAGATTATAAAAAAGGAGCTGTAGATCCTAAATCTGCTCTGGGCAAAGAGCAAGACAAGTGAATAGGAATGGAAACGGCGCATCCTCCTGCAGAGCAAGGATCTCTCCTGCATAGGGGTTGCGGAGTGGGGGCACCCCTTATTTTGTCATCTTCCGTGACTCAGTACCAGCACTGCTCCAAGTGATAAGCTGTTGTGGCACCAGCTTAGAAAGCAAAACGAGTCACAGGTATGTCACGCAGAAGTTATGGAGGGAGGGACTGCTCATCACTGCTGCTTTGCATTGGGGTTGACGAGGTTCCCCTTCAGAGTCACTGTGAACAGCCAGGGGAGCAAAGAAAGAGTTGTAAAAATATTCTTGTTGTCTGTGGTATAAAGAAATTGCTCTGTGTGTCAGTGTCTCTGTTCAGCTGAACACGAGGGTGGAGAGAGCTTGCAAAAGCTGATTTCATGAAGCTACGTGGGAGTCAGGGGGCACAGGCAGGAAGACCTGAGCGGAGGCTGCAAGGAAGCATCATCCCTTGGTGCCAGTAGGGGTGGAGGGAGAGGAGAGAGAAGGCCCACCTCCGCCATTGCTGAGAGGGTTTGAAAAGAAAAGCAGTCAAAGTGTGGGGTTTGTTTTTCACAAAAACAGCAAAAGCAGTAGAAGCTACTGTTTGCATAGGAAAAATGTCATTAGAGGGAGCGAAAAAGCACATGTGGGACTGAGAACATCTGCTGCATGAAGCCACTTGAAAAACAACTGAGCAGCAGCATGGCAAAACAAAAACGCATGCAGCAGGTCCTCCTGACCACAGAGGGAAAAGGAACCTTCAGGCAAACCTAGAGCAGAGCAGGTCATGCCTGGCCCAGCCTGCTCCTCCTCAGCCCTTACTGATGGGGCAGTGGGGAGGAGAACAGCCAGTGGTGGGGAAGGGCTAAGGGAAGGTGATCCAGAATAGCATCGTCACCCAAGAGTTATCTGTGTGAGTGACAGGTGACAGTCACGACAGCAGTCAGCAATGAGCACCTGGCCCTGCTTTTAGGAAACAGCCTTTGGTTTTGTATTGGCAAGTGATCACAGATATGTTATAACGAGCTGTGTTACCTGTTGTGTTGCCAAAATAGGATCCTGAGTGATAGGTTTTTGTGTATGCAGTTTCTCATCTTTCTACATATAATCATTATCTTCTCCTGAACAAATTCGTGTCTAGCTGTGAAAATGGTCAGTGCTCATGGAAATGTGCTGCAAAGCCTTTGTTTCTAGAGGATGAGGTTTTGTGGCAATTTACCTAGTTAAGATGTTTTGCATACCTATCATGTTTCTTTTTCTCTTGAGGGAGTATGCTGGGTAGATAAAAGCAATATGCAGTGTTCAGAGAGATTTTTTTTTTCCCCTGAGCATGAAGAATAGCTTTAATGGCATTACATTGCACTGAGGGTCTGACCACTGCCGTGCAGGTCAGCGGGCAGCCTGCCAGCAGCATGGACCTTGTAGTCCGTCCTTGTGGTTTTACTTGAAGGATCACTGTTCTTGTTCTTGGGCTGCAACCCATTTGTCCAGCTATTGTCAAAAATGTTATTAGTTACATGCGTGTGCCTCTAGAATCTACAAGGAAAATAGACCTAATTTGGCATGCTTTTGATACCTGGGTCGACAAGATGCTCAGTGATGGATGGCACTCTTTTCAGGTTTGGGTCTGTTTTAAGATCTCTAGCTTCCTCTCACATTTGAAGTCACTGATACTGTGCTTTTGTAAACATTTCTGGCTGTTCCTCTGTTTTACATGAGCTTTCCTTTTATAATGCTGAGCAGGATATATTTCTCATCTTGAACCTTTGCTTCAATGATTATTTTAATGGAGTCTGGCAGGCTTTCACAGGAACTTTATTTGCTTTATTGGTACATATGCAAGGTACAAAAGAGATTTGCATGTCACAAGCATTTGAGACCTAAAAAGTTATTGAATCATGATTTCCCATAGTATGTAAAGTCTTTGCTACCCTGCTTTTAAAATGGCGATATTTCATTCTGTGACATAAGTATAGGTTCTGTGTGAGATATGTTGAATTTCAGGAGACTTTGCTCAGTTTCTCAAGATTAGCGTATACAACTGCTGTGCCTTATTCTCCTCCACATAAAAACTGATTTCCTAAGGATCTCCGAAGCTGCTGTATGTAAGAAGTACAGAAACCATAGGCCTGAATCTGCCTGGCAAGGCTGAATGTGAACTAGTTTAATGTCAGTGACAACAGCAGCCTGGATTCACCTGAAATGGTGAGAGATGAGATCTGATTGTATCCGTATATGCCATTTTAGATACATAGCAGTTGTAGAGGCACTGTGTGTGTTTTATGCACGAATTTGAATGGATAGCATGAACATGCAAATTGCAGTCCAGAATTTTCACAGAAGTTCAGGAATGTGAAGGATTTTGGTTTTGAGGGGTTTTTTTGAGTATACAGAAAGGGTGAAGAATATTCAGTAATATGCCCCTCTTGGTGTTTGGTTTCTTCTTATGCTCAATAGGATGGTTATCCTGATTTCCAGGACACGGTCCAAACACTCTATCAGCAAGACAAAATGCCGCTTGCTTTGGCTAAAGGAAAGAGTGAAGACTCAACAGCTCTTAATTCCCAGGTAAACCAACTACACTACACTGTGAATAATACAAGCCATGCCTTTGTACATTGATTCTGATGTATTGTTTTGATGACTAAAGTAATTACTGTCAATTATCAAAGGCTACCTAGCTTAGCTGTGATTGCATCACTCTTAATTTGGGTTTGCCTTCTGAAATTGTTCTGACACAGTGCTACAGCTTTACCCTTGTTAGTTCCAAGGAGGTAAGATCTAGTGTAGTAGGCTTGAAAATGCGTGATTGCCTGTTGGGAGCAAGTAGGGTACTACGGGTACAGTATGTGCTGTGTTACTTGCGTTATTAGCTATAAATGGAAAGTTCAAGTTGCTGAGTCCGGAGGAATAGAGTAGGCGATCTCAGAGTCCTCAGTTCTGACATTTCTTGTAAGAAGAAAGGCCAGTATATTTAGGAAATAGTGAACCTCTGGATCTGAGTGATAAATTGCCCTCCTAAATAACATCTAGCCTGGTGGAGTGCAGTGTTCTCGCGTATCCAGGAAGCTTTTTATAAATGAAGACAAGTTTCTGATTCTTTCTTTGTCTTTTCTGTAGTGTATCCCAGCCTTAAGGCAAAATACGCATCTCCCACTGCCAGTTGGTGCCAAGGAGGGATTTCGTGCTAAGTTGCAACATATTATTTTGTGTAGCTGATTTGGGCAAATGTAATCTCTGAATTTTCATGTAAGATTGCATTTAGGAGTTACACTTCAGTTTTCTGAGACTAGATGTGTTACCCTGTCTTTTGCCTTCTATTGCAAAGTAGCTTACAGTTGTACAAATCTGTTCATTGTGATGCATCAAAAAGCAATTATGCTACATGTTCTGATGTCACATAATGATTAAATGAATTTGATTTTGCCAGACTTGTTTTCATTTTGTATACGCTTTAAAGTTTTCATTGATCACTGCCACATAACAGTGGACTAGAGATTTATTTTAAGCCACTTTATTTGAAGTATCTGCAACTCCACAGGTTTTTCCGTGGTGATCAGAAGCATCATCGCAGTTTAAAATTCTGGTTTTATCCCAATTAACCAACAAAGATGGCATGAGTGAGAAATATTTTATTCTTTTAAAACATTATTTAGCAGTTCAAAAGTTGTAAGTAACAGGAGTGACAGAATAGTAAGTTAAAGCACACTTCAAAGTAAACTAAAAAAAAAAAAAAGTTTCTTTTTTTTACCTACTTCCCAAGACAAAGCTTGAGCTGTCAGTGTTCTTCTGCAGAACCTGATGAGCTCTAAGCCGGAGTAAGTAAATATTGGTCATGTCATTACCCTGCTGTCAGGGTCATTACTCTGCTGGAGAAGCTCAGATTTTGCTAGTCTCTTGTGCTCTCGTTGTATTTGTAAATTGTTGAGCTATGCTGAGTAAGCAGGCTTTCGTGGAAAGTCAGGGCTTTCATCATCTCCCAAGAAAAGTTAAATGCTCTGCAATTAATAGGCCTCAGTACCAGTTGAAACAATTACGGCGTTACCTGAAAGAGAAATTAATTTTTCCATATCAATCGTAGATGCTGAGTTTGTACGCTTGCTGTTCTTATGTTGATTGTGGCTCTTCTAAATCAACTTTCTTGACTTGTAATTTTCTTCTTATTTTTGCAAGATGCTTATTTACATTCTCAAGAACAAGACTATACTGAAAGTTAGAATTCTCTTGGCATTAAAGTCAATGACAAACATTCAGACGCCATTTCCTCCCACGTTGCGCTGCATTGTTTAGTTTCCCTCTCAAGAGGTGTATAGGTCTTGTTCTTCTTCTAGACAGACTTTTCACACCTTTATCCCCCACAAACATACTGTCATCCTACACTTTCAGAATGGCAGATTTTTAAGCTTGTGTAGTGCTGTTTCCTAAAATAAAGATTCCAAGATGTCTAGTGAAATCTTGGCATAAGTTTTTTAGCAGATGTTGCCATTGCTCTTGGAATACTTTGTGAAGACATCTATTTGAATAGAGCTAACTGGATAATTAAGACATTATTCTTTGCTTTTCTTGAGATTCTCTTCACGTAACCTGCAGTCCAAAAGTGCAGAGAGTGATTTTTGTGTGTTTCCAAAGAAGAGAATTTAACGTTGCATTTTTGCACGTATGAACTACAGCAGCTTGCATTTTAAGTATTCTTGAGTGACTCAGATGTACAGTATGAAAATCTTTCTGGGTGCAAAAATATTTTGTTTGCTTGATAGTTTTGAAGAAACTGTAAAGCACACATCTGTACATATGAGTCAACAAAACCTTGTATCTAGTATGTTCGTCTTAGCATCTGATACTGTTTTTTTCCCTGTGTTTTGACTCGCTATATGTATGTATAAAGAGAGAAAAAATTTTTTTGCTTTATTTGCAGTCGGAAAAGGTGATGGCAAAACAGATGGAGTTTCTTTGCAACCAGGCTGCATTAGAGAGACGTCTTTCCACAGGGTGTTACAGGCAGAACTCAGAAGAGCACAGCCCCAATGGCATGTCATTAGATAATGCTGATGGACAAGGTATGGTAGCTTCCAGGCATGACATTGCTGCCAGCAAATACATTGGATGTTATGCAACCTGTGTCAGTGGTGCTATTTATCTAGTGTAGCACCAACAGCACACTGAGCACTGAATGGACAAGACAAGATCTCTGCCCTGAAGTGCTTACAGCCTAAATAATGCAATCAGATGTACAGTCAGATTCTGCTCTGTTACTCTAATGTGTCTGGGCAAACTGCTTTCCCTATGGATAACGTGGGGAGGGAAGAAGGTAGAGTGCACTACTGTTACTGAGGGCAGAACTTGGCTCTAGCTTTATCCTGTGTTTTGAAAATAGGTCAGAATGTTGCATTTCATTTGTGTTCTTGCTTTGGAAATTGAAAGTAAAGCAGATAATGTAGATGGTACCCCTTTTTTGTTTACCTGTTTGTGCAGTCTAGGAACAGAACCAGAGGAGCTGGCTATGTAAATTACTTAGAACTAAGCAGATTTTAATGATGTTCTTAGTAGCTTGTTATTCTTCAAAAAGCTTACAGTTTTGTGGTTGTCTTTGATTTACCAACTAGCTGTTCCTTAGCCTGAATTAATTTTAGGCATGTTTGTTTTGTTTGAGCACTTTCTATTTGGATTTCTTCTTTTACTGTTGTGAAATGAGACAAAATGTTTTAAACGCAAGAAATAAAACCAGAAGTTATTGTATTTGTTTTTTAAGAGCTAGTTTGTTTAAGGGGGGTGGGGAGGGGGGGAGAGAAGCAGTAAAGGGAGAAACTAAGACAACTGATAAGCAAGCATTAAAACATAGGTTTTAATTTGTGTATATTGATCAAGCAATGCAATACACAAGTATACAGGAAGAATTAGGTGTGTGGATCTGGCTCTTCTTGGTAATTCAAGTTTCTTTATACCATTTAGCCATTGTGCAGTGGGAGCAGGAATTTTTAGGATCTCAGGGTTTTTTGAGCAGAATAAGAGTTTTTTGTGGGTGGTGTTTGGGGTTTTTTTGTATGGCTGAGTATCCCTTTCTAAGAGTGCCTGTGAAATAGTCTGTGAAGTAGCATATTTATATAAGCCTTATTTTGCTAGAAATCTTCCCAGAGCATCTGGAATTTAGGATGCACTTTTGCTGATAGAATTAGTATGTCTTTAAGCCTCTATCTGTTTTTGTTTGTTGTTTTTTTAACATTGCTTTGCTTTGCTTTTAATGCATCAGTGTTTCACTGTGAACAAATTCCAGGTGAAAGGCCACTGAATCTCCGCATGTCAAATCTGCCAAGTAGACAGTTGCAGCACATTTCACTTGATGGAGAGCAGCATGTTGGAAAACCTCTGTGCAGTGATTTGATCCGGCTTTACCCCAGTGGTGAGGCAAAGTCCCAGTCCTCAGGTTAGTGCTGTCCCTTGTAAATTACCCACCATTTCTTACAAAGACTGTGATGAACTTACCAATTCATGATTTCTCTGAGTGAAGAAGTAAGTAGCTCAGCCTGGCATGCTTTGTGTGTAACTCTTTAATTGAGGCTTTGGTCAAAACTTCCAGAGGAGTGTTACCTGCTAATCTAGAATCAGAGTGAATATTCTTTGGGAAAAGCTTAGAGGATGCAGTTAACTAGGTTCAGATAAGCAGATTCTGGGATGTGTCCTCAGAGAGCAGTATTCACCCAAGCTACTGCTGTTAAACACTTACGTAGCTGTCATTGTAATGCAGTTTGATTATAACATGGCTTCACTCTGTATAGAGGAATCAAGCTTTTTTTTAAATAAAAATACTTTTTATACTGGTTTATAAGGACCTAGCACTGTTTCTGTACTCTGAACCAGATCATGCAATAAGTCTTTTGAACTGGGATTCCCATGCACTGGCTGCTGCTCACTGGCAGTCTTGCCCTTTACCTCTGGCACTGGGAGAAACTCATTCTCAGGTTGACAGAAGACAGCAAGAATCCTTTGTGAAATCCGTATGGGTGGTTTCAGTTTAATACTTGGTGCATCGAGAATTCTTGAGACTCTTGCAACTTTAGGAATAGTAATAAAATCCCACCTGAGTTTGAAAGAGGCAATGGGAAAGAGGTTATTTGTAAGGCAAGATGCAAAAGTAGTTGTTTCGAAGACTGGGCAGAATCTTGCGTCTTCCGCTTTGGTATAGTGCAGCCTTAGTTCACCTTTTTTACAGTTTGTCCCAATCCCAGTGATAATTCACTAACTGAAACTTCTAGTTTTTACCAGTTCCCTTTCAAAATGCAAGTGAGAAGTGCATCTCCACTAATCCCTGCTCCCGGAGAGAACTGAAATAAATCTGTGGTGATTACTTTGTTGTTGCTGCAGTGCAGCTGAGGTGGTTCTAACCCATCTGGGTTAAGGCCCAGTAGGAGACAGAATCTATTGCTTTAACTGTTAGTGTCCGTATGGTTCATGGACCTTTTTCTTGAATTAAGACCAGAATATATTTGCTTCCAAGCAGTGTTTTTAACATTATTTATTTTTCTTTTTCCTTTCTTTTCTCAATGCAGAAGGCCTTGGTATTTTAAAGGATTTTCCTCATTCGGCTTTTAACAACATAGAAAGGAAGGTCATAAAAACAGAACCTGAAGACACGAGATAGTCATTCTGCTCTGGAAAATGGTGTCGTAGTAAAGAGTGAAACTTCACAAAAGAAAGAAAAAACCAGCCTTAATAACCAGTGTTGCCTCATCCAAATAAGAGATTTCAATAGCCAAAGCCTAAGAACTGGTACAGTAATCTGTGGAAACAGGGAAGCAAGAGACACTGCAAACTAAAACAGTAATACAGGTGGATAAACATTCCTGTAAAAGTGATTTTATAACGTGGGAAGATTCACAAATTAATATTGTGAGTCTTCATTATTTAAGAATGTATTATGTATTTGTATAACTTATCAAAGTAAATCTAGATGTCGGGACGTGTATTGAGTCCAGTAGATGTGGCTACAGTTCATTTTACTTGAAATTTCAATGTCTTCTTTCAGTGTACCTAGCGTAGATATGGTTGTTAAACATTTGAATTAAAAATCCTTGGAGAATTAGGAATGCGAACCTCGTGACACAGTTAACAGCAAGTTTGCAGCAGTATTTGTAGAAAAAAGGAAAATGCATAAAATGTTTCATGGTTTAAAATGTTATGTGGATATAGCATTTGATAGACCTAGACCCTGATTCTGTAGTATAGCGGACGTACTTGACACTTAACTATCGTTACATCACTGTCAATGGTTTCAGCAGCCTTTGTGTAACACACTTACAGCATAATACCTCCCTACAGGTCAGGAGTGCAGAGAATGCCAGGTATAATATGGAAGAGTCCATATGATTGGCTCTCATTTTGTTGGGGAAAACTACGGTTTGATATACTGTACGATTACTAAAATCTCATGTGGTAGGAAACCCAAGAGACCAAGTAGCATGGACAGGGCTGCAGAAATTGTGTTTCAGACCATTATAACTTTTTGGACTTCTCTGTGGATCTTAAAAAAAACCAAACAACAAAAAGCAGCAGCATCCCAGGTGTGGCAAAGATGAAATATGATGCAGGATTTATGCATCTGTGTAAAAGGTTGCACTTGATATCAAGAAACCATAAGATCTTTTGGAGGAGAGAGACAAGGAGTTGTCTGTAGCGTGTGACTCCTTATTAAGTGCGGTCCAGCCCACATGATTCTATGAATATACCGTATACTGCATACAGTATGCCAATACGTTTCTTTATATATGTGTTTAATTAACATCTGTATTCTTTATTTATTTGACAGTTTTTATTTTTTGTACATTTTCACTTTTGCAGATGTCATTTTATCTAAGGAGAAATAGTCGGCATATAACTTTGGAATTTACCATGGTGTGTTTGTGTGCATCCGTTTTTCCTCTGCGCAGCTCCCTCAATAGGAGTTGCTTTCCTGCAGTCAAAATAGTTACATGCCTTAGTTTCTGAATACAGTTTTTGCCTACAATGTGTTCTGGAGGGGAAAAGGAGGGCTGAAGAAAGTAAGTTACTCTGCCAGTGGGTAAACTTCCATATTCAGGTGTGCACTTCATGTCTGCAGTTTGCTCTGTGTCATAGATGTGTACTAAAGATTCAGTCGCAGTCTGTGTTGTACTGAAATGATCAGCAAAATGTGAGCTGAAATGTCTACACTGCAGTCTCTTATCACTGTAAACATATCTAATTATTTTATCACTTTTGATTTGTGGAACAAAGCTTTATAGTAGAAACACCAGTAAACAACTTTTTATACTATTAAAATGTTTGGTTTTTTAAAAAAAATGTTTCTTGAACTGTATGGTACTGTTTCACTTACTGAAGTATCTTACTTTAAGCAATGGAGTTCGCAGCTTTGCTGTTAGAAATAAGAGATTGAATGTGTAGTTATATTTCCTCTTTCCTGTTGTGTGAGCTAGTAATACAGATAAGGTATTTGTTCAGTTTGTAACGTTAGCCAGTGCCCTGGTTAGTATCTGAGTAGCTTTCATGAGATGTGTATGGAGCTTGCTAAAGGACAGCTTGAGTGGTAGGAGGTACCAAGCAACAAGATGTTAGAGATGCAGGAAGCATCGTATTTTCAACATCTGGCATGGTCAAATGTTGTACGTGGATCACAGAAGAAGCTCCTAAGCTTGCCGGTCTCTTCGATTAAAGTGAGAGGAAGGAAGAACTTGCTAAGCAGCACGCTGTTTCAGTTGAGTCCAGAATTTATTTTGTAAACACTAATGTATTAAATTTGCTATAAATTAAAGTATATAACAGTTATATTTTTGAGTTGTAAATACAGTACTTTGTGTCACGACCAGTTGGTTATCTCTAGAATGATATTTCAGTTTATAGTCCAACAGGCCATTTCAGTCTCAATAAGCTGGAAGCAAATTTTTTTTACTCGTTTGCAGGTGTATGTTTGTTTGTTTTTTTAACCTAGGGGGGTGGGAGGTACATTCCGAGATTGCACATACATATGGTAATAGCAAATACTCAAGGTTGGTCTTTCCACGACAAAGGTCTTGGTGGACTGCAACTTGGCCTGCCTCGAGTCGCAGGTGACGGCTTGCCCTCATCTGCTCTTGAAGGGTTGCTAAATTCAGGGTACTCTGGATCAAAGGCCAGCCCTGCAAATAATGCCTGTTCTTATTCACATGTTTATACTGTTGCTTACAAAATAAAATTCACCGTGAGAACGCTTCAGTTTCCCCAGGGTTTTTCCTTCTCCTCTCCTTTTTTTTGTGTGTGTGTTTTCTGAAAGGAGATGTTAATTTTCTGAGACAGGGGAGGAGGGATTAGCTTGAACTGCGTCTTTCACTGGGGGAACCCTTTTCCTGCTCTTGTAGTTGAATCTGCGTTTTTGGGTGGCCTTGTTACATGCACAGACCGCAGGACTTCAGTGGGCCAAGGCAAAGAGGGAGGAACTAAAACCCAGGGAGGGTGTGCAGCGTGGCAGTCTGATTCAGTGCCTTCTCCACCTCCTGCACTCTTGTACATGCTTACATTTGCACAAGAACACAAACAAAGCAGATCTGCTGGAAGGTGATACCAGGTAGTTGTAAAGCGGTCTTTGGGGGACCAGGAGACAGAACAGCTCTGCCCAGCCCTAATGCTGCCCTCAGCAGTTCTCTTGGTGGTCCACTGCGTTTCAACTCGCTTTCTGAACGGTGGCCCGCACTCACTAGTAAAGTGCTGAAGTAGCATTGGAGGGCAGAAACTGAATGGGAGAATGGGTATAAAAAGGGAAGAGAAACAGACCAGGGAGCAAAAACAGGAAGGAGAAGTAGAGGGAAGTGTGTGTCACAACACCACCAAAAGACTTTAAAAAAATCCATGTTGCTGAGATGGTGTAGCAGTCAGGTGTGATTCAAAGCAGAGGGGAAAATCTACTCGGCCTGATGGGGTCAGAGTAGGGTGCAATTCCTCCGCCTTCTCCCAGCCCAGAGGGGGTTAAATGTGGGAAATCAGAAGCAGTGGCTTTATGTGTGCTGGTTTTTGTCTGCACTTCCAGTGTGGTCTTACCCTGTTCTGGGAGTGGAATAGGAGGAGGAAGGAAGGAGCCGGGTACTGTTGTCTTGAAGGTGCGAGGATGGAACAGGAGATGCCCCACATTTTTTATTGATCTTCCAGGCTGCATACAAGTATAATTGGAAAACCTTTAGATACTTTTTTTAAAACTTGATCTGGGCTGAGTATTGGCTGACTGAAGTTCAATAAAAACACAGTGATGCTGGACAGGCATGGTCCTGCTGGGCCCACAGGCTTGTGTGAGACCCACCAGATTCTGTGTCTCATCAAGGTGCTGTGAAGCTTACGCTGTGAGGTCCTTGGTTGCAAAGCACTGTTGGATTAGACAATATTACGGAAGGGTCGTTAATTTGAAATTTCAGGAGGTGCCTGTTTCTCATGCAGTCAAAAAAACTTGTTTAAATTTTTATTGCTGGCTGCCTACCTAAAGCTCCTGTGTCTCTTTCTAAATAAGTGGCTTTATATGAGGGTCTGCAGGAAAAGCATCCACTCATGGCCATGGCTTTACTCATAGTGATGACTTTGCCCATGACAATGGCTGCAGAACTCATTTCTTCTGCATTTTCTTTTTGAAATACAGAAAACTTGTACGCAAACACTGGGTTCAAACATAGTGATGAAACATCTTCCAGCAGCCCCTAGTTAAAGTGCAAATGCTCATCACTGCAGTAATTGGAATTTTGTGACGCTCTGGCTTGAAAGTGTCCTGCGGTGGTGGTGAGAGCACACAGTGCTCAGGGCACCCCATTCTGCTCCTTCCCTTGAGTGCAGAGTGATTTTCCAGCTCAAAATTCAGCATCCTTAGTGCCTTCATGCTGGCTGCAAGCAGGCTGGGCTGTGGTTTTGGGGTGCCAGTTGGCACGGGGGGTGGATTGTGTGCTCCCCCTGGCTTGTCTCTGCCAGGGCTCTGAGGGGCTGTGCTATTTCCCAGCCTTGAGCTGGGGTGCAGCCGGGTCGCACTGTGGAGCTCACTGGCTGTACGCACTGTGGAGCTCACTGGCTGTCTCCCTCCGCAGGAGAAGGAGGAGAAATGCCGTGAGGCTCTTTTCTGCTGTACAGAAGGGTTGAAAAGATGTTATGCTGCAGTGATTCAGTGGGGAAAGGATAAATCCCTCACATACACCTACGCACCACCACGAGAGAGAACTCCGTGGGCAGAGAAGGAGCAGAACATGAAATATGAATTTCCTCGAGCTGCTGGGGAGGAATGGCTTTCCAGAGCCCTTCCTCCAGTGGCTCTGTGAGCCCCTTGTCCAGCTACCCAGCTGTACTGAGATGAAGGGCTACCCCCACCCAGGGAAGGCCCCAGGCAGGGCATTGCTTGCACCTGGAGCCTCTGCAAAGGGCAAGCCCCCTTCTCACATGATTTTGGGCTGTGGTTTCTGCCCAGGGAGATGGGACAAGGCTGGCTGCCTGTCCTCATGTAAGCTGGTGGCTCCAGCAGGCAGTAGTCCCAGGGCTGAGGGAGGTGGTGGAGGTGGCTCCTGCTATGGAAAAGCTTGGGAAGCCCTAATGTAGGCTACTGACAAGTCCGTGGGTCATCAGATGGTGCCCCAGACAACTGCTCACCCCAAAACCACCCCCAGCCAAATCTGTGCTCCCTACACCATGTTCTTTGGGTAAGTCCGCTAAGAATATTGGGCTCAAGGAGGGGCTGCAGTTTGAGATGCTGAAAGCATTGATGAATGCTTTTTGCCCATTTAACAAAATATTCAGGGGTCTTTAAAGTGTGTTTGTCTGAGGTGCACACCATCTGCAATGGTCTCTGGTGGAGCAA